TTAATTTATCTTTATTAAAAATTAAAAGTGTCAAGACCAATATACACTAGGTATGCCATTCTGGTTTTTTATTAAATATTTAGCGGAAACTTTTCTAATTTTTTTTTTTTTTAATCAGGACCAGGGAGAAAAACAGACCCCGTTGTAGGTATTATATTATTCAAAATATTTAATTTTAAAAACTACTAATATAATTTTAGAGAAATTTTGAAACTAAGGAAACAACATTCAAAATTGAACTTTATGAAAGTAGTGGTGAAGGTACTGTTATAATTCAACCTAAAAATACAAAACCAGAAACAATTGTTTTTCAAGACTCTGTTGAATTCTCTCGTATTTATTATGGTTCTCTACTATTCTTCACCAATAGTGGAAAAGAAACCTTAAAACTTACCACCGATTGCCCTTATGAGCCATATGTTTAATACTTAGTTTTTAATAAAATATTATCTTTAGAAATTAAGAAATTTTTTTCAAAAAAATAACTTTCAATAAAAAAAATTATTTAATTTTATTATTTTATTATAATATTTTTTTTTATTTTCCTTTCAAAAATCTTTACAAAGCCATATTAATAAGATTTGTTTATTTTCGGTTCTATATTTACCTGTGTTGATTCATATATTTACACCTCTTCAATAATAAAATGAAAATATTATATTTTTAAAAAAAAAATTATAAACCATTTTTTTATTTAAAAAAACATAATAATACCAATCAACAATTATCTTTCAATTTCTTTTGAATAATCTTCTATTATCTATTCTATAGAGCCTGGAATATATATACCCCTTTATTATTTTATTTTAAATAAAATATTATTTACAAAATTTTATATTTTTGGGTGGTTGTTTAAAATAAATTTTTATTTTGGAAATTAAAAAATATTTGTTTCCAATATGCAAAAAAAAAAAATTTAGGATATAAATAAAAAAAATTTAGGATATAAATAAAAAAAATCTAAGAAATAAATATTTAGATTTATTATTTTTATTTATAAATTAATAATTTTATTTTTGATTTATTAAAATTAATTAAAAACCATAAAATTTTATTTGTATTATAATATTTCGCTAAATATTTAATAATTGTTTGGATCTAAACCAAAAAAACAAATTATACCATCGTCACAACCACTGACAATTAAGTCAGAACTTGCAGAAATATCGAAATAGTTAATTGATGTACCTGGGAAAGGGGCATGCTCTAATGCGACTAGTTGTTTATTATTTTCTACATCCCAAAGACGAACACAACCATCATCGGCTGAAGTTGCAAAAAACTCACCATTTCTAGACCACTGTGCATGATTTACAAGTTTGATATTATCATTATAGGATTGATTTTCGTTTATTTTATGGCGGAGCTCTGAAACTGGTGTTCTACAATTACGGGTGTCAAAAACATATGTACAATTGGTAGTACCCGAAATTGAAATATAATTACCGCATGGACTATAACAACAAATATTAACATCCTCTTGACCAGTGCTCATGGTTAAAGCCACCGGGCTAGATTCTCTAAGATCGTAAATACAAATTGATCTTTCTGGGTCATTTGATGCAGATGCCAAACAGTCAGGAATTTTTGGATTCCATGCAATAGAAGAAACATCTTTTTCTTGAACAAAAAGATTTAAATATTGCTCAGGTCTATTAATATCTATAATTGTTACAAAGCCTTTTATTGGATCATCTGTAATCGAACCAATACCACCTGCAACCAAATCGCAGTTATTTCCATACCCAAATGATAAATCAGTTACAGCACTAGAATAAATAAAAATTGATAGTTAGCTACATGTTTATAATAAAATAAAATAAAATAAAATAATTATGATTCTTTTTACCTTGGCCATGAATCTAAATTTTGTGTGGAATTTATATTTATATGAGAGTGTGTGTTATAATTGTATAAAATAATAGATTTATCTTTAAAACCACCAGCCGCTAATTCAATGTGTCTATGTAAATTTAATCTGAGACATGGACTTCTATCTTTGTGCTCATAATAACCCAGGACCTCAGCAGTATCGGATGACCAACTTGCAATACGACCATCCTTACTACATGTAATAACTTTTGATCCCCCAATCGAAAAATGGCCCTCATTACATTGCTTTTCGTGAAAATTTAAATTCTGAACAGATTGTGTTTTGTAGTCATATAGTATTGATTTATTGTTACCCTTTGATAGTGCCATAACTTTATCCGAACCTGATGGGTCGAACTTTACATCTAGAATATTTTCACCACCATTTGAAAGCATTGTAACCTTTGAGAAATCTTTGGTAAAATGTTTAATAACCCTCCTTTCGTTACTTTCAATCTTTAAATTACTGTTATTTCTCCCCAATTCATTATTGAGTAACATCTTATTTACATCTAAACATTCATTTTTTCTATCGCTGTACATTGAACTTGAAATTCCAAACTCCTCTCCAATATTTTTATTTGAATTTATATCCTTAATAAATTTATTGGTTTCTTTTTCGTGGTTTCTTAATAAAATATCCAACCTTCTAAAATTTTCATCCTTTTTACAAATATTTGAATCTTTTAAATATCTAACAACATCTATAGGCGCTCTGCCTGGCAATTCCCTATATTAGAATAAAATTAAAAATTAGTATATCTGATCTTAATTTTGTTTAGGAAATAAACAATCCATTACTTTATAACTTTATATAATAAACTTAAACTTGAATTATCCCTAACATTCGAATTTTTTAAAATTTTCTTTTCGATTTCATTAAATGGAAAATGAAGATAGATGTTTTTTTCAAAGGTTTTATTTTTGTAAAGTGAAAATCTTGCTAAAATTGATAAATATCCTCTTTCTACTGTGCCTGATTTTAAAAAATATAATGATGAATATTCATTTTCTTGGCTAAGAGTTTTTTTTAAGAAAAAATGATAAATAATTAGTTAAATTTTAAAAAACCAATGTTATCTTATAAACGTTTATACCTACAGTTTATTAGAAAAATGTGTGATGCTTGTTGATTTCATTACATTATTTTTATGTTTTTTTGTTTCACTTGAAGGAAAATCGCCATTACGTAATTTCATTGGTTCGTTTTGAGGATATCCAAATAACTGTCTATATTTTGAAATTGTATCACCTAAATAATGAAACTTGGAAACCTCTGATTGATTTCTAAAAAGATCTTCTGAACGAATGGATTCAATTAAATCAGGCTGTGAATATGCATATAATAATGAATCTTTATAATCTTTATCATCTTTTGAAAACTGGTGTATATAATGTCTTGGAAGTGAAATAAATGTTTGAACTACTGGAATTGATTTCTTTTTTGATGAACGACTTGTTTTCTTTAATGAAAAAGTAGGATGATTTTCAGTTCTTGTTGTTGTTGTGGTAGTGGTAGTTGTGGTGGTATTGGTAGTAGTGGTAGTTGTAGTAGTAGTTGTAGTGGTTTTTGATTGATCTTCCTGTGAATGTTTGGTAAATAACCCATTTAACTCTAAACCATCAACCCTAATAATAATAATAATAATAATAATAATAATAATAATAATAATAATAATAATTACAATGGTATTGTTAATATAAAATAGTAATACAATGTATCATACATAAAATTTTTGTTTTCTTACCTGTTTAATTCTAAATAAGCTTTTATAAAATCACCAATATTATACTCTGTATTCATTTCTTTAATTATTCATATTACGATTTACAGTTGTTACTATTAAAAAATGAATTAACCCCCAAAAAAAAAAAAAAAAAAAATTTAAAAAAAAAAATTGAAAAAAAATAAAAAAAAAATTTTAAATTAAAATTTTTAAATTTTTTTTCATTTTTTTTTTTATTTATTATTAAACAATTATAACATTTACATATTTCAAGCTGTTGTAATCCTCCCATAGAAAAAACGACACGATATATTTTTATTATTTTCCAAAATCAAAGTTTTAGTTTACCACTTGTAATGGCAAAAAGAATGAACCATCAGTTAGAAATGAAAATATAGAACATATTTTTGATTAGTATTTCACAATTTTTTAAATTAAATTATTTGTACCAACAAATGATTAAATAATAATATATAAAATATGTCATTAAATACAACCCTTTATGTTCTTGCTTTTTGATCATTTCGTTGTAGATCGATAACCATTTCAGAAACTTTAATCTATAAAAAAGATTGAAAATATTAAAACGATATTATGAATAAAATAGAAAAATGATTAAAAATATAATAAAAAAATAAAAACTTTGGTAATCGAGAAAATCCATTAGTATTGGCGGTGGAATATGGAAACTCCACAACAAAATAATTATTTCTGAAGAAAAAAAATTAATAATTATGAAAAAAAAATTATAAAACTAATCACCTCCCTCAAAATGATTAAGATTTTTAAAAAAAATTATTTTTTATTTTCTCTGCATTTCAAAATGTAACGGTTCAACTAAAACGAAGAAATTGAAAAAAATAATTGGTGAAGATAATCCAGCTGTAAAAGCCTCAGTAGAAAATTGTAAATGATTAATTGAGCTATCCAATTTAAGTAAACTTATTCATAAACACTGTATTGATATTCCTCTAATCCAAGATATAAACAAGTTTTTAGAGCAAAATAAATATTTTAAAAATAAAAAAATAAATAAAAATAAAAATTTTAAATTTTTAATTTTTAATTTTTTTTAAATTTATTTTTTTAAAATTTTTATTTAATTTGTAATTATATAATGTGTGTTAAATTTTATTTACATATAGACGACAAAAAAAAAAAAAAATTCATAATGATAAAAAAGAAATGGATAAAATAAATACTAATATAATTATTAATAATACTAATAATTATAATAAAGAACTCATTTGTAACTATAGTAGTAACAATAACAGTTCTAGTAATAACAACTATAGTAATAACAATAATAACAATAATAATAATAATAATAATAATAATAGCAATAACAATAATATAAACAATGATATCAATAACCCAACTGATTTATTTCTTAAACTTTGGAGAAACATTGTAATCAAAAGGACTATAATGTCAACTATTGAAGCCTATAATTCAAATAAAGAAAGACTCTTTTTCAAAGTGTTTAGAAATATCTACCTAAGATCTAAAATTAGAAGCCACTTAATCCTTAGTTCCTAATTGATGAAATATCTTCAAATTTTGTGGAGAAATTAATTTTAATATTAAAAATCCAATTAAACCAAAATTAAAATAAATAATAAACCAAAACTAAATTTTATAATAAATAATTATTTCAACCTAATTATTTCCTTTATTTTAAAGTAATAATAAAATGAGAAAATAATATTATAAAAAAAATAAAAGATATAAAAAAAATCAAAACTAATTATAATAAATTTATTATAAATTACCACAAATAAATTTCATTGCACATATAAATTTTTTTAATATTTTTTAATTTTTTTTCTTTGACCCACACCAACTCAATTTTATTTTAAAATTATGGAATGGCTTTTTTTTTTTTTTAATTATTTTTTTAAAATTTTTTTTTGAAAACATTAATTTTTTTATTTTTTTTTATATTTATATTTTTATTTGTATTTTTTTTTAACTATTTATTTTTCTATATATTATATAAAATGTCAGCTACTTTAAGTAATTATCGATCATTAATTTAGAACATAAAAATAAACAAAAAAAAAAAGAAAATAAAAATAAAAATAAATAAAAGAAAAAATTTAAAAAGTTCATATTTGAACACATATATTTAATATATGTAGGAACAAAAAAAAAAGATCTAAGTTTTTTTTTTTTTTTTTTTAAATTAAATTTCAAATACTTTTATTTACTTAATTTTTTTTTTTTGTATTTTTATATAAATATACAAAATATTAATTATATATTTTATTTTATAGGAAATATTATTGCCCCAACACCAGCTACTACTCGTGGTAAATCGGTTGTTGTTAATGGTGACCCAAAGGGTATTAATGTCCTCTATGCCTCAGGTAATGGTATTGTTATTAGAAATATGAAAGATCCATTAGTTGCCGATATTTATTACGAACATCCAGCTCAAACTACTGTTGCCAAATATGCACCATCAGGTTTTTATATTGCTAGTGGTGATGTTCAAGGTAATCTTCGTATCTGGGATACTACTCAAAAAGAACATTTACCAAAAATTGTTATTAAAGCTATCAGTGGTCCAATTAATGATATTGCTTGGACTTCAGATTCACAACGTTTAGTTGTTGTTGGTGATGGTAAAGAGAAATTTGGTGTTGCTCTTCTTTGGGATTCAGGTTCAACATGTGGTGAAATTACTGGCTCAAGCAAACAAATTCTTTCATGTGATGTTAAATCAACAAGACCAATTAGAGCTGTTACTGGTAGTGAAGATTTCTCAGTTAATTGGTTCGAAGCTGTTCCATTCAAATTCAAAAAAGAAATGTCAAATAAAGAATTTACCCGTTTCGTTAACTGTGTTAGATTCTCACCAAATGGCGAAAAGGTTGTTTGTGTCAGTTCAGATAAAAAAGGTATTGTTTATGATGGTAAAGATGGCAACAAACTTATCGAACTCGAATCTAGCCACACTGGTGGTATCTACAGTTGTAGTTGGTCAGAAGATAACAATCGTATTTTAACTGCCTCTGCTGATAAGACCTGCAAAATTTGGGATTCAACTACTGGTAAATGTGAAAAAACCTTTACTTTTGGAAGTGATACAAATGATCAACAATTAGGTTGTTTATGGCAAGGTGATTCATTAATTTCAGTTAACTTAAATGGTGATATGACTTATTTAGATATCAACAATCCATCACAACCATTAAAAGTTGTTAAAGGTCACAACAAATTAGTAAGTGCCATTTCTTATGATAAGACCACTAAAACTCTTTTCTCTGCTGCCTGTGATTCTACTTTTGCTCTCTTACAATGGGATCTTACTACTGGTGTTGCCACTAACTTTTCTGGTCCAGCCCACAAAAATCAAATTACCCACATCAAAGTCAATGGTGATCAACTTATTACTTGTGCTATGGATGACAGTGTTAAAATCTCAAGTATCTCAAAGAAAACTTTTGGTGAAAGTATTGCTATCGACAGTCCAGCTCAAGGTGTAGCTTTCAGTGGTGAGACTGTTGTTGCTGTTTCAATGAAATCAATTTATGTCATCAAAGGTGGTAAAGTCGTTTCAACTACTCCAGCTCCATACGAATCATCAGCTGTTGCTATTAATGGTAACGAAGTTGCTGTTGGTGGTAAAGATAACAAGATTCACATTTACAACCTCAATGGTAACAATCTTACTGCTGCCCACACTTTAGATAACCATCGTGGTGCCATCACTGACCTTTCATATTCACCAAATGGTAAATTAGCTTCATCTTGCTCAAATCGTCAAGTTATTGTTTGGGATGGTAAGAGCCCATTAACCACCGGTTGGGTTAACCACAGTGCTAAAGTCAATGCTTTATCATGGACCTCAGATTCTAAATATGTTGCCTCAGGTGCTCTCGATTCACAAATTTACATTTGGAATGTTGAAAAACCAAATAGCTCACCAATTCAAATTAAAAACTCACACTTAGGTGGTGTTAACGATGTTGTATTTGTTGAAGACAACCTTATTGCTTCAGCTGGTAATGATGGTGCCATTAAATTCTTTAATATTACTTATTAAAAATAATTTTTAAAAAAAAAAAAATTAATCATCATCAAACAATACTATTTAAATAATATATAAATAAAAAATTGTATAATTAATAAAAAAATTTATTATTATTATTTATTATAATAATAAATATAACCAAACAAACATTTTTTTTATACTTTTTGAATGTTTTATTTTTTTATATTAATAAATGTATATATTTCTTTTTTTCTTACACAATATGAATAGAGAAAATATAATAAATATTATTAAAAAGTTAAATTATAATAATAAAACTAATAAAAGTAAATATATGTTTTAGAAATGATCGTTTGTTTTTTTTTAAAAAAATTAAATAGATTTATTTTATATTAATTAAATAAAAAATCATTTTCTGTTTTTTTACTTTGACTAGTTTCGGTAATTGTTTGAGATAAATAATCGTCACTTTTAATACTTCCACTGGTTTCAAAATCATTTTCTTTTCTACTTGATGGATTATCAGATGTATTGTTTTGTTGTTGATGTTGTTGTTGAGTAGATGGGGAAGAAGATGATGATGAAACTGTATTGTTTTGGGTTTGTAGTGAGGTTGACGCACCGCTTCCTCTATTGTTGTATGATTTTGCTGACTCTGCTTCGTTTGCTACACTTTTTCTACGATCTTTACCTGATGGTCTATTTAAAATTTTTTTCTTTTTTTTAATTAATTGTAAAACTGGACTACCAAGAACATTATTTCTAATCGAATCGACCCATTTGTTTGATTCTTCAATGGTTGGTGCTTTTAATAAATATTTTGAATGTTGACCCTCTATTGGACCAGTTTGTTTTAATTTAACAGATTTAATTGTACCAACTGTTGAGTCTTCTATTTCAAATACCAAATCACTAACTAGTGTAACCTTTAAACCTTCTAGAGGTATGATAACTTTTGGATGATCCTCCTATAATATAAAATAGTTATATTAGTTATTATGTTTTAAGTTTTCAATAAAGTATAGGTTTACGTACATCTTTTTCATTTTTAAAATAATATAAACAATTGTTTTTTAAAACGAACCATCTTTTTTGCCATTTCTTTTCATTTGAAGTCATTTTGAATAACCAACCTTTAATTTGAGCATTTGAGAATAAGGAGTCATCCGACATTTTAAGTTCACTATTAATAATACGGTCATAAAGATTTTCTAGATATTCAATTGGAAGATCTTTTTTACCCTTGAAGCCAGTATTATTCTGAACAAATGATTTCTTTGTCATTTTGTTTTTAATTGCTGGATTGTGAGCATCGGTATTTAATAATATTAATGAAAATGCTAATAAATAAGCTGTATCTGAATCTGGGAATGTACCTGGGTTATCTTTATGGTATTTCTTTGCAAACGATTCCATAATTCTATCTATTTTTTGAGCTTCCCCAGGCAATCTAAACTTTGATAAAAACTCTCTTAAAGATTCATCAAAATCTTTATTATAAAAATTATATAGTTCTACAAACTGTTGTAATATATTTATATTAAAAGGATTACTAAATTATAAAAAAAAAAATTAGTATTTGTTTTACAATATTAACTCTAATTTAATTGTATTTACTTTTCACCTAAATAATCACCAACTTTTACTTTGTTTAGTCCATCTACATGATAAAGAAATGTAACAATATCTTTATAGGGGGTTTGATCCAATATATTTTTTTCTGTTATAAATTGAATTCCCTAAAATAAAAATTATATGTATTAGTATTTTAATTATTTAATAAAAAGTTGTTTGTTTGTAATAATATTTACAGTATCTGGATTTTTATTGAATTTTCTCATTGCTATTCTTAATGGCTCTTCAGGTTGAACAATACCATATTGAGGCTTTGTTGTAAGTTGATCCAATTGGTCAATTTCTAATTCACTAGAGACATCCTTAGTATTTTCTTCATCTACAATCTCTTTAAGAACCACTGACTCAACAGATCTAATTTCTTTAATAAATGGCTTTACCCATAGTATACAAGTAATCTATAAAATTAAAAAAAAAGATATTAATACTTTAAAGAAAAAAAAAAAAAAAAAAAAAAAAGTAAATAATTACCGTCCACATATAAAAAAGTATTGCAATACCTATTGCCAATATTAAACTTGCCCACCATGACGAGACTAATGGTTCGTCATAATAAGACAATAGTCCAACTGCAATGGTTACTAAAATGATAAAACCTAGAGAGGCAAATTTCCAATAATAATACTATTTTTTAAAAAAAAGAAATTATTAGCGAGATTGGTTATTTTTAATAATTAAAAAAATTAAAGGATCTTACAATTTTTAATAAAGTTGGTCTTAAATTTAAAAGAGAAAGAAAACCAGATACAGCAAATACAAAAAAAATGGCACCAAAACAGCCATATATTAAAAGAGTTGTATGACTTCTTATTATACCTATTACTAAGGGATAAACAGTACCCAAACCAATTAAAATTTCAAATAATACAATAACTAAACAGGGAAACATTGAAGGTTTTTTTGGAGGTGTAATTGCCCTTGAACTTAGCTTTGGTGAAAAGGTTGTTGATTTTAAATTGGTATCTTTTTCATGAATATTTTTATCATCCCCATCCTCTGTAAAAAATGATTTTTTTCGTTCTAAATTGCTTGATGACATTATTGGACGTTTGATAGTTATACCATCTGGTGTATAAGGTGTCTGTACAAGACCAGCTGGGCTATTAATGTTTGATGATGAAGATGCTATAGAGTTATTATCAGTGATATATTGAAAATTATTATTACTTTGTTTTCTTGTTTTATTTTGGTGTTGCATTGGTATTGAAGTTTGGGGTGATGAGGATGATGACATGTTACTATCATCACTATCATTATCAGTTAGATTGCTATTAATATTATTGTTACTTTCTTGCTTTTCATTTATTATATTATCAAAAGAAATTTTATTATTACTAATATTACTGTTATTATTTTCAATTTCTTCTTTATTTATATTTTTATTTAAACTACTATTACTGCTATTTATATTTATATTGATGTTGTTTTCTTCAATAATATTTTCATTATTTATATTTGTATTGTTTATATTATTTATACTAGTATTGTTATTTAAATTATTGCTAAAGTGATGAGGATCCTCTTCTGTTGTTAGTGGTGAAGGACTTGGACTGCTCATTCTATTAAAAAATCTGATGTTTATTATACATATATTTTGGTGATTATTTACAAAAAAAAAAAAAAAAATTTATATTTAAATTTCTAAATTGATTTTTTTTTTTATTTTATTGTTATTAAAAAATATTCTATTGTTTAAAACATTAATTAGTATTAATTAAATTGGTGCGAAATTTTTTTTTTTTAAATGTACACAAAATATTTTAATTGTTTTGATTTTATAATTATGAAATGGTGTATAAAATATGAAAACTATAATGTTATTTAAATGATGTATTATTTGATTCCAATTTTAAAAACAAAAATTTATTAAAATATAACATAAAATTAATTATTTAAAAAATAATTTCAAACTAATAATGAATGAAAAACATTAAAATTAAAAAATAAATAAAAAAAAAAAGAAAAAAAAAAAAGAAAAAAGAAAAAAGACACTCTAGATACCCCACCAAAAAAAAAAAAAAACAACAACATTACCAACACACTACCACCACCCTAAAAATATACGGACATATTAAAACGCAAATATTATAAACTTTAATTTTAAATATACAAAATAAAAAAAAAAAAAAGTGATTTATAAGAGTTATAATGGAAAACAGATAAATTATCTTTATTGTTGTTATTGTGCTGTATTAAAAAAAAACATGATAATGATATTTATTACACAAAAAGTAAAAAAATTAAAGCTGATATTACTGCGCTATTTATAACTATTTTTTATTTTTATTTTTTTGATATTTTTTTTTATTGTAGTTATTTTGATATTATTTTATTTACTCTACTTATTACTATTTAAATCCAATATTAAAAATCCAAAATGCTATCAATTGATATTTTTTTTTATATATAATATCAGAACAAACATTTAGATGTTACAACAATTTAACTAAGATAAAAATAAAAACAAAGAATTTTAATACAAATATTAACAAAATGTAGTAAATTTATAATATTACCTAGAAAAAATAAAATAATAACTTTGGGTTGTGGTTTTTTTTCTTTCTTTTTTTTTAATTTATTATTTATAATTTATTATAAAGTAGAATATATTTTATTAATACAATTGTACCACAATTGTTTTTTTATACTACTTAAAACAATCTAACTATTGTTATTATTAATAATTTTATTTGTATTATTAATTGTTTTTTTTTTTTTATTTTAGATTTTAAAAAATAAAATTAAAAATATTTTAAATTAAAAAATTAAGAAATATAAAATTTAAATTTAAAAAAAAAAAAATAAATAATAATCCAACGCCACAATGGTCTATATGGTTTATTGAGATTTTATACAAAAAAAAAAAAAGGAAATTAAAAGATAGATTGGAAGCAATGAATATTTTTATTGATTATATATTAAAAAAATAGTTATTTTTGATCTGTTTTGAAATAATAACTTTGGTTTTTATTATTTTAATAAAAGAGAAATAAAAAAAGATAAATAACACAATCACTAAAATTGAAGATCATTATCCTTACCAATTATGAGTCTTTATTTTATTCTATACTGTTGTATTTATTACTACTGTTATTGTTTTTATTATTATAGATAGATGAAAAAATGAAGTTTTATTGTATTTCCATATATTTTATTATTATTTTTTGAAAATTAAATAATAATGATAAAATTAAATTCCACATCAATATTTATTATTGTTTCTATAAATGAATAAAATAGATTTTAAAGTTTATATATATAAAATTATTTGTGTGTTTTAATAAAATTTGTATTTATTTTGAAAAAAATTATATTAAAAATAAAAAAAATAAAAAAAATATATTTTAAAATTAAATAATAGAATAAAAAAATATACTAAAGTGTGCAGTAATAAATATTATATGTGTGTTATTTTGTGTTGTGTGTGCGTGTGTGTGTGGTTTAATACACACTATTTAATATAATTATTAAATTGTTGTTATTAAATTAAATTATGATAATAAAAAAACACAATGAGCTTTAAACTAATATTTTATAAAAAACTTATATTTACTTTTCTTTTAAAACTATACATTTATATTTATATTTGTATTTATTTATTCGATTAATTATATAATTCAATTATTACAAAGTGCTTATTTTAAAAAAAAAAAAGTTAAAAAAATAAAAAAAAAGTTTTTTTTAAATTTTTTATTTTTAATTTCAAATAATCATGATAGAATGTTTTGGGTTTAAATAAAATAAATAATAAATTAATATTAATTATTTTATTATATTTTATTTATATAACATTTTATTTTTTTATTTTTTTTATTTTATTTTGTTTTATTTTATATTTTTTTCATATTAAATATTAAATTATTTTATTAAAATAAAACCTAAAAAAATAGTAATAAAGGTTATATATTAAATAAAATAAAAAAAATTAAAAATAAAAAAAATTTAAAATTTAAAATTTTTTTTTTTTTTTTTTTTTTTTTTTTTACAATAATAAATTATTTTTTATATTTAATAAATTATTAGGAAATATCTATTAATCTTAAAAATAATAACTTTTAATAAAAAAATAAAATAAAATGTCGGTATCATTACAATCAGCTTTAGAATTGGTTCATAAAGCAGTATCATTAGATAATAGTGGAAAAGCACAAGAAGCAATTTCAATGTATAGTATTGCAATCGAACAACTAAAGCAAGCCAGCCAAACCACCTATGACCAAAATACCAAAAATCTTATCGAGTCTAAAATATTAGAATATCAAAATAGATCAAGTTTTTTAAAATCATCATTACATTTAGATTATAATAACAATACTGTATCAAACTTCCCCTCTCCTCCACAAAATAATAATAATATTAATAATAACAACAATAATGGTAGCGGTAATTTATTGGATCAAGCTTTAAAATTTGCAAATGAAGCAATTGGGTGCGAATCAAGTAATAATATTCAAGGTGCCATTGTAAACTATAAAAAATGTGTAGAACTATTAGAACAGGTTTCTAGGGGTAATTATTAAAATGACTATTTAGAATTATAGTTTTTTATGAAAAACCATTACTAATTTCTAAAACAGACGAAAGCAATATCGAAACTAGATTATTTTTAAATCAAAAAAGACAGGAATATCAAGGGAGATGTGAATCATTAGAACTCACAATAAGTAATAGTAATGGTTTTGGTAATAGTGGATCATTAAACTCAACAATGACTCTGATGAATAACAACAGTAATAATAATTTAAATAGTAGTAACTGACCATTTCCACAAGTCGAAAATGAAC